GCACCGGGCTGGACTCTCCTGGAGGAGAAATGTCTCCTTGAGTGGTGGGCTGAGGTTCCCAGTGCACTGATGTGGAAGCAGCCCAAGGCAGAGTCAGGAGCCCTGTGAGCAGTATGGATGTTTGTGAAAGTCACTCCCTCCCCTCTGGTTTGGGGAGGGAGTGACTGGCATGTCTGGCATGAGAGAGGAGCCTTGGAGGTGAAGGAGGGGAAGAAAACCCCAAGTATGAAACAGCCTTGGGATAGAGCTGGGTGCATGCTCTGAGGTTTCTGGAGATGGGAAGGGTTGTAGTGTACTGTCCTGGCAGAAAGGGGGAAAGAAAAGACATCTTGTCAACACAAGGTGATGCTTTAGAACATTTAGATGTTTAAAATAAAATGGGGTTATTTTAAGTGAGAAAAAAATTTCCTGAAGATCAAGTTGCTTAAAGGTTTCCAAGACTGGAATAGCTATATGAAGCTGGCAGCCTTTTCAGGGGATCTGTACCGTATTCGGAGGCACCTGCACTGTGAGCACTGTGAGCACTGTGCTTTCTGAACCTGGAGGCACCTGCACTGTGAGCACTGTGCTTTCTGAACCCTCTTTCAGTCTCCTCTAACTGTTCAGCATTGTGCTAGTGCACATCACTAGCAAGCCTGAAAGCAGTGTGTGAGCACAAGGCTTCAAAGTCTGGGGACTCACTTGCAGCCCTGAAACTTAAGAATGTTGCTTCAGCCCCTGTCAGACAGCAAGGGGGTTTTGTGTGCCTTTGGAGTTTGAATGCATTTCACAGAGTTCTGATCTTTGTGGTACAGGTCAAAGAAATTATCAGTCCCAGCTTCTGTCGTGTCTAGAATAATGGGAAGAGGTGGGTGCAACATCACAGCAATTCAGGATGTCACTGGAGCCCATATTGATGTTGATAAGCAAAAAGATAAGAATGGAGAGAGGATGATCACTATAAGGTACAGTATCTTTAAATTAAAGTCTTGAGTTAGTCCACAGTGTTTGAGATGTTTGTTTACTTTTTAAGACAGGACCTATTTAACTTCTTGGTCCTAGAATAGAACAGACATTCCTGGTGCCAATATACGCTGACAGTTGACTTCAGAGATAATCCTAAAGATACACAAACGTCAAGGAATAGCTTACTGCAATAGACTTAGAGATCAGTATGAAATTGAGACTGTGGAGTGTTGCACAAAGTGGGGTTTGCTTTTGCAAGAGATAAATCTGTTTGTATTTAATCTAGGGGTGGTACAGAGTCCACACGATACGCAGTGCAGCTCATCAATGCCCTTATTCAAGATCCTGCCAAGGAACTGGAAGATCTGATTCCTAAAACTCATATAAGAACACCTGCTTCGAGTACCAAGTCGATCCACGCAAACTTTTCATCTGGAGTCAGCACTGCGACCGCTTCCAACAAGAACTCCTTTCCACTCGGAGCACCGCCCCTGGTCACATCGCAGTCATCAACACTATCTACTTTCCAGCCAACTAACAAATTGAACAAGAATGTCCCAGCGAACGTGCGCTCGTCTTTTCCGGTGTCTCTTCCTCTCGCTTACTCTCACCCTCATTTTGCCTTGCTGGCTGCCCAAACTATGCAACAGATCCGGCACCCTCGCTTACCTATGGCCCAGTTTGGAGGAACCTTTTCACCTTCACCGAACACTTGGGGACCATTCCCGGTGAGACCAGTTAACCCTGGCAGCACAAACAGCTCTCCAAAGCATAATAGCTCGAGCCGTGTAGGTACCCAGAACGGCAACGTTTTGCAGACGGAGTCTCCTGGATTAGCTACTTCTAGTTGTCCTGTTACAGTCTCATCTGTAGCTGCTTCCACCCAGCCGCTGTGTGTGAGCAGTAACCGGACTCCCTCCTCGGTCAGGAAGCAGCTCTTCGCCTGCGTTCCCAAGACGAGTGCTGCGGCCACAGCCATCTCGACCGTGACCAGCACCTGCGGCACTCTGCCCTCAGCCTCCTCTGCCCCCACCAACAACGGGCAGGTGCCTGCAGCGTTTCTGCCGTCGACCGCTCCGCCGGCGCAGCATTCCGCGCTGAAGGCAGACTCGTTCCCGGCTG